GGGGGGGGGGGGTAGGTGGGGGGGGGGTCTGACTCAGACAATGAGCAGAGCCCTGTTAAAGGCGGTGGTGTTTGAGGACCAGGTCTGAGAGGAAGCCCCCGCGCGAGGGTTAGCTTTAAGCTAACGGGGAGGAGAAAAAAAATGGAGGAACCAGAGCAGAGCTCCACCGTTTGGGCCAGAAGTGGCTTTCAAAGGTTTGGAGTCCCAGGAGGGGAACCGGCTTTGGCCTCAGATGAGGAGCTGGGAGGCTCAGAAATGGCGTTTGACGGCTTTAATGCCAGTTAAGAAGAGAAATCTTCATCAAACTGGCAGCAAAATGTGCAGAAAAAACTAAAGTTGGACACAAGGACTGAAATCTAACATTTACAATCAAGAGGACTGAGTCCCCTTTACTTTTTCATACTGATAACTGTTATATATGGTAAATAATCTGTTATATATGGTAAATAACTGTTACAAATGTTAAATAACCTGTTATATATAATAAATAACCGTTATATATGGTAAATAACCGTTACATATGGTAAATAACCTGTTATTTATGGTAGATAACCTGTTATATATGCTGGCAGATTTTTGCCAGCTTTGCTTTTGGTTTTACTTTTTGTTGTGGTATGCTTCGATTGACTTTAAGTTTAATTTTCAGTTTGATTTCCTCTCCAGTCTAGTCCAGTTTACAGATTTATCTGCTTTTACTTGTTTTCGTGTCTCGGTTTGTGTCTAATCAACCCTGAAGCCCCCTAAAACTTTATCTAGTTGGGATCCCTGACCAATAAATACGTCAAATCAACCCAAAAAAATCCTAGAATTTGGACTTTTTCTTTGCTTGGGGGGAAAAAGTTGAGCATCAAAGTCTATAAAAATTAATTATGGTTGAAATGAGGGTTTGTAGAGGATGATGTTTGTGCAGACGTTAGAGGGCCGATGCAGATGGTCCCCATTCGTCAGACAGAAAGACGTGTGTCAGGTTTTCCTTTTCTTAAATAGTGACTGAAAACTTGTGAGTGGGAAGCGGAGACTTGTGTCTCACACTGCCCACCACAGCAGACTCAGAGCAGCCAGCAGGAATCCCCTCCATCCCTCCTACCCCGCTTTTAGTTTCTCTTTTTCCAATCTGACATTTCTAATCTGCAAAAACAATAATTTGATGAATATCTTCATATATATAATTATTAATGATGATTAATTACTAATATTACAGTGCCAATAAACATTGTGCATATATATCTATGTATGATTAATAATAATTAATTATTATTATTACAGTTCCAATAAAGATTATATATACATATGAAATTATTAATCATTCATTATTAATTATTAATATTACAATGCCAATACGAATGTATATATATACACTGTAATATTAATAATGATTAATTATAAATATTACAGTGCCAATAAAGATTATGTGTAGATATATATATGTATAAATATTAATAATTCATTATTAATTTTACAATGCCAATAAATATTATGTATATATATATATACACACTGTAATATTATTGATTAATTATAAATATTACAGTGTCAATAAAGATTGTGTATATCTTTATATGTACTGTAATATTAATAAATAATTATCAATCATATCAACCTATGAACCTAAAAGTATATTAATTTGTTTACATCTCCACAGGAAAAGACACATGAACGGCCTTTTATCTGGTTTTGACATTCTTCAGTTAATGTGACTCCTCTTCTTTCTCTGGTCGATGCTTGTCCTTTAGATTTGCAAATCAAACACGAGAGCCGTTTGCTCTGAAACTGAAACAAACCGAAGCCCCTGTCCGGTCTAACCCGGCTAAACCCCAGCAGACCCGTCTCTGGCCTGCAAACGTTCCCGTTTTAGCCCCCCTGATCTGATCGGTTAACCACACACAGAGAACAAACACAGCTGCTGAAACAATCAAAAAGGCCCTCCAGTGGAAATACCTCTCAGTTTGTAGGAGTTAGACCCACAACAACGGCTTTTTTCTTACCACAAAGTAACATTTAAAGATAGAAACACACAAAGTGGGACGTATCGGCCAATTAAACAACTGATTTTCGAATTAATTCAGTTTCTGAACACCAGAAAGAGTCCTGATGTGACTTCTAAGATAAATTTGAACACAAACTTCAGCCCTAGCTTTATTTCCTTAAATTTTTTCCACTCTATAACCAACTTGGTGTGTTTAACCATAAGATCAAGTTAGTTTAGTCCAATATATCTTAAAAACGCAACCTTTTATATGGGAATAAAAAAACAACAAATATATTGTAAGACTTCCTGCTGCACTATATGATCCATAAACTTATCCTAATTTCACAAAACATTTAAAATGCAAAGTCACATCCAGTAACATAAAGTTGAGATCAAATGTCAAACTAATTGATATCAGCTAAGCTAGCTGATATCAATTATTGTGCTTTTACGGACGATTCCCGAAACGTGTAAACGGGAAAAAAAAAGGCTGAAAACAATTGATTTATTTTCTTAAAAAATGATTTTTGGGG